GCATACGCGCACACACAGCTAGTACATCGGTACCTACGGGCGCACGCATACGCGCACACACAGCTAGTACATCGGTACACACGGGCGCACGCATACGCGCACACACAGCTAGTACATCGGTACACACGGGCGCACGCATACGCGCACACACGATACATCGATACATACGGGCGCACGCACAGGCGCACACACAGTACATCGGTACATACGGGCGCACGCACAGGCGCACATACAGTACATCGGTACACACGGGCGCACACATACGCGCACACACAGTACATCGGTACACACGGGCGCACGCATACGCGCACACACAGTACATCGGTACACACGGGCGCACGCATACGCGCACACACGATACATCGATACATACGGGCGCACGCATACGCGCACACACAGCTAGTACATCGGTACATACGGGCGCACGCATACGCGCACACACAGGTACAGCGGTACCTACAGGCGCACGCATACGCGCACACACAGTACATCGATACATACGGGCGCACGCATAGGCGCACACATACAGTACATCGGTACATATGGGCGCACGCATACGCGCACACACGGGTGTACATACGAGCATACCAGATACACATACGGACGCGTACATCGATACATACACGCGTACGCAAACAAGTCGAAAAACGGCGGCAGCAGGTTAGCGAGTCGCTTACTCATTACGTTACGGTATTTCCGCTTGTGAAAACTACGCATCAGGCAACATGCCTGAGATGTTTCAAGAAAAGCAGAAACGGGCCCGTGTCAAGGGACAAGTCACAAGGATACACACGTTCCTCGAGTCGAATCCGAACTGCACGGCGGCGGAAGCTCAGGTTAGGTTGACGAGGTTAGAAAACTTCTGGAACGCATTCGAAGGTATTCAGCAGGCCTTAGAGGGCATAACAATCAAGGATGAAAAACAAGCGGATCAGTTCGCACGCGAAAATGAAGGTGAACGGCTAATGTTCGAAGATAGATATTAGCAACAGCGACGAAGCTGCAGCGCATCATCGATGAGGGGAAGCAACCAAAGGACATCGGACAACAACCAGCGGGCACCAGTCAGGTTCCGGAGGACGTCGGACAGGTCATTCCTGCAGGAAGAAGAAACAAGCCGAAGCTCCCGGAGATCAAGCTCCCGGAATTCAACGGAGAGTACACTAAATGGCTCTTTGTCAAGAACAGCTTTGAGACAACAGTACACAACGACGGAGACCTATCCGGTCCACAGAAATATCAATATCTCGTAGGAGTATTGACAGGCGAAGCACGTAAGGTTATGGAAGGCTTCAGTAGTGAAAACTATGAGCAGGCATGGCAGTTATTGAAGAACACATACGACAACGAAATGATGATCATCGACACACATTTAGAAGAGCTTTTCAAGTTTCCGGTTATTGTAAAGGACGATAAGGCGGATTCAATGAGACAATTAATATGGCACATTCAGACACATATGTCATCCTTAAAGTCGTTACATCAACCTGTGGACCATTGGGACACCATAATTATCCACCTGGCCAAAAGAAAGTTGGAATACACGGAACAACGAGATTGGCAGAACTGCATTAAGGAGCGTACGCCTCAAAACATGCCAAAATTGGAAGATTTTGTTAAATTTATAACAGAACGCTGTCACACATTAAGAATGATTAATCAAGCCAAACCAGCGAAGCTCAAACAATCAGCGATACCAGACAAGAAGGCGAAGAAGGGAGTAGTCCTGACATCAACGCCAGCTCAATGCAAGATATGCAGCGGCGAACATCAAGCATTTCGATGCGACGAGTTCATCAAATTGTCTTCTGAAGAGCGCAAGAGGCGTGTCTTGGAGAAGAGACTTTGCCTTAACTGTCTCAACTCAGGGCATCAGCAAAGGACTGCAAGGCATCGGCGTGCAGGAAGTGTTCGGGTAGACACAACACAATGTTACATAAGGAAGAAACAAAGAAGGCTGAAGGCGACGAAGCTGTAGTAACGCCAGTTGTTACACATTGCAGTAATTCACAGAAGACAGTGAAGAATTGCGGTGGTGGTAAAACGCACACTCAGGTTGTTTTGTCCACTGCTCAGGTATATGTTAGAGACGGCATGGGAAGCAGGATTAGATGTCGCGCATTGTTGGATCCAGGATCACAACTAAATCTGATGACTACAGACCTTTGGCGGAAGCTGAAATTACCTTGGACAAAGGAGGACATACCAATAAGTGGCATCAGTCTAGTCCAAACAAACGCGAGCAAGACGACTCAACTCAGGGTGGAGTCTGCATATAATGATTTCGCCATGGTAATGAACTGTCTTATATTACCTACGATCACAGTGCAAATCCCACAACAGAAGATTGAACCGAATGAAATATCCCTGCCTAGGGGTATACAACTTGCGGACCCGGATTACTGTAAGCCGGGAAAAATCGATCTGCTCATAGGAGCGGGACCCTATTGGAAACTACTCATTGGATCCCCGGAAAATCAAGTCGACGGCCAGCCTTCCCTACAGGATTCTAAATTGGGTTGGATCCTTGGCGGGGAGCTACGCAATCGAAGCAACGGTTTAAATTGCTCATCAGCGACATGTCTCACCATTACGAACGATCAACTGAGTCAGCAGGTTGAGCGTTTTTGGAAAATAGAGAACATCCCCGAAAGTAAGCATTACACCAAGGAAGAGAGGGAATGTGAGAAGCATTTCTCCGAGACTGCACACCGTATGAAGAACGGTAGGTTCGTAGTGCGGCTGCCAATGCGTTCGAACCTCCAACTTGGAGAATCCAGGAATCAAGCACAACAAAGACTAGAAGCTCTCGAACGAAGATTGCTACGGGATTCAGAATTGGCGAAGGCATACTACAGCTTTATGGAGGACTACCAGAGGAGTGGTCATATGACTCAAATTTCCGAAAAGGAAATAGAACAAGCAAGGGAAGTATACTACATTCCTCATCATGCAGTCGTCAAACCAGACAGCTTGACTACGAGGTTGCGAGTGGTTTTTGATGCATCCGCAAAAACGACATCCGGTGCATCACTCAATGATAAGCTTCTACCAGGACCGAACCTGCAAAGGGATATCTTTAAAATCTTGCTACGATTCCGGACGCATCAATACGTTATCACAGCGGACATCGCTCAAATGTTCCGACAGATACTGGTCGACACACGAGATAGAGCACTACAACTAATATTATGGAAACCAAACCCAAGGGAAGTGGCGAGGATATACCAACTAAATACAGTAACGTACGGTATGGCAAGCGCGCCGTATCACGCCATGCGGTGTCTACAAGAACTGGCAACTCAACATTAAGACCAATACCCGTTAGCAGCACGTGTAATAAAGGAAGATTTTTACATGGATGACGTTCTCACCGGAGGACGGACGTATCAGGAAGTTATGATATTACAACAACAGCTATACGAGCTTCTGAAACAAGGGCAATTTTGGCTCCGAAAGTGGCGCTCAAATGAGTCAAGCTTTCTGCAACATCTAGCGGATTGTGAGACTGGCGAGCTGTTCACGATTGATAAGGACGCAGTTAAAACGTTGGGACTACTTTGGGATTCATCGCGAGATAGGCTACTATACGAAACGGATTTACCTAGGCAGAAGCACTTCACGAAGAGGACCGTATTGGCACGGATATCGCAAATTTTTGATCCATTAGGCCTGGTTGGGCCAATATTAATAACGGGCAAAATCTTCATGCAAAGGTTATGGACCGAGGACTTGCAGTGGGATCAGACGCTTCCCCACCATTGTTTGACTGCCTGGGACGATTATGGGGAGGCTTTGCTTAAACTCAATACGTTGCAGATACCTCGAAACGCTAATCACAATAACAGTTCGAGCCAATTTGATTTGTTTGACTTCGGAGATGCTTCCCAGAGTGCCCTGGGAGCATGTTTATATGTCGTTTATTCAGATGAAGATGGTGACTTACATTCACACATTCTCTGTGCTAAGTCCAGAGTGGCACCATTGAAGACCCTTTCGTTACCACGATTGGAGCTGGAAGCAGCCCTGCTCTTATCACAATTGTATGCCACTGTTAAGGCAGCCCTGGTTGGAAGAATTCGGCAAATTCACTTGTGGAGTGACAGTACGATCGTACTCGGTTGGCTCAAGATGGAACCGCATACACTCAAGACCTTCGTGGCCAATAGAGTGGCTAAGATTCAAGAATTGACGGAGGAGGCGACTTGGGCACATGTGCCTTCCGACGAGAATCCTGCGGATCTACTGTCCCGGGGGACTACAGTCGCGGACTTGCGTACTAACGCTCTCTGGTGGAACGGACCCCCTTGGATCAGGGAGGGCGATCAACAACCCAAGCGCATGCAGGTACCGGAAACAAATCTACCAGAGATAAAGACATCTGCAGTGGCTCTGATAACCACGCAGTCTGTTGTGAACTCATTGTTGCACAGATACTCATCGTTCAGCAAGCTATGCAGAATCATTGCATACTGTCGCAGGTTTTTCACCAGATGCAAAGGAGACAAATCGACGGATATTAACAAAGGAAACGCTCAATCCTTAGATATCGGCGAGATAAGCAAGGCAAAAACGATAGTGCTTAGGTAGGTCCGGGAAGAGGAATTAAAACCTGAAATGCAAGGTCTGAAGAAGGATCGTGTTCTACCTCGGAAGAGTCCACTCCTTTCACTTTGCCCATTTGCAGACGAGACCGGCAACAGCGCACAAACACATGCACGATTTTAACTCTCCCCACCACGCTCCACCCTGCAATCTCTCCTCCTCCTCAACTCTAAGCCAATAGCCATCGGGTACCTTCAGATTGCAGTGCCATCTATTGGTACCTAAAGATACAACCATCGGGGATCGGTTTTGGCCGCGTGTCCCGAACATACAGTTCGGTCTCCTTATCTCTATTCTTCATGGATGTCCCGTAAAGGATATCCGTTCAAGGTACGACAACAGACATCCGTTAAATGTCCATTTCACGTCCACGGACGTTCGGACGTAAATTGGACTTAAACTGGACGTCCACAGGACATCCTGTGCTATCTGGGCAGCCCACCAGAACATTTATTACATCACATTAGACAGCGATACTGGCCTATAAGCGGCCGAAGATTAGCTCGGAAAACAGTAAAGGGCTGTATACGATGTTTTCGCTACAGGCCAGTGATCCCGGATACTCTTATGGGTGATCTGCCAAAGGAGCGCGTCACGATGGTTGCACGACCGTTCACAGTAACCGGTGTGGATTACGCCGGTCCCTTTCAAATGCGTGAAAGTCGACGACGTGGTCGTATACACGTGCAAAAGGTGTATGTGGCGGTATTTGTCTGTTTTAATACCAAGGCGGTGCATTTAGAAATGGTAACAGACCTCACCACGGAGGCCTTTTTGGCTGCACTCGGCCGTTTCACAGCAAGGCGGGGGACATGTGCACAATTATTCTCCGACAACGGAACGAACCTGGTCGGAGCGGCGAGAGAACTGCGCAGGGTTCAAGAGTTTTTGGAAAAAACGGAACCGGAAATAACCTCTTTTCTGAATACACAACGAATTTCATGGAGTTTTATCCCACCAAGGGCTCCTCACTTCGGCGGATTGTGGGAGGCTGCCGTCAAAATCATGAAGAGGCACCTTTACACGATTACTCAGGGGAGAATTCTTACGTTCGAGGAATACTACACACTGATCACCAGCATTGAAGCCATGTTAAACTCCCGACCTTTGACTCCCTTGACTAATGATCCTTCCGACCTTAACGTTCTTACTCCTGCTCACTTCCTTATTGGAGATCCACTCATGCAACCAGTTCAAGTCAATTATCTTGATACTCCCAATAATCGTCTTTCTCATTGGCAGCAATTACAAAGGGTTCGTCAATTGATGTGGCGACGCTGGCAGCAAGAATATCTACAAGAATTACAAAAACGAGGCAAGTGGACCACCCCGGGTGTCAACATTGAACGAAACACTCTGGTCTTACTCATGGAGGATAACACACCACCGCTACGATGGCCGATGGGCAGAGTGGTTGAAACTCACCCCGGAGCAGACGGTCAGATCCGAGTGGCAACGGTGAAAACGCAGACGGGATGTTTCAAGAGATCAGTGAGGAAAATGTGTCCCCTGCCATTGGAGGATTGTGATACTTAGACCATATAAGAATTGTTACACGTTAGTCTATGCGGTTTCAGTTCTGTTTAATTAATGCCCCAAACAGCACAGGTAGATGCTGAGAATGTTCGCAGAATATCGCAACAGTAGATTGCGCATGTTCTCAGAACATACGAGATACGTACTACGATTTGATACGAACATACTAAGAAGATTCCTATTTCCGGGGTTTTCCAGTTCGTAGTACATACTGAGAATATTTTGCAGTACATACGTAGAATATCCGTAGAATCACTATAGAATCAAGAATAGAACGTGCACAGAATGTACTTCTTTTTACGGTAGGTAGGGTAAATAATTAGTACTTATTTATAAATTATAAAAATATATTTGTACGGTACATTTTTGGTTTTCACATTTGTTTTAACGGTTAGTTTATAAAAAAACGTCCACGCGCACGCACGCACATACATTTTGTATGACATATATATATTATATAACATGTGTATACATATATATACATATATGTCATACAAAACTAAGCTATATCCATAATATTGCAAACAAAAGAACATTAATGAAAGAAACCTTGGCTACAGCATTTATACATTTGCTGATAGCTGATTCACTCTTGCGTTCTCTTACGCACGGCTAAATAGCCTTTATACAAAACATATAAACTATATCCATG